TTTAAATCAAGAAATAGTGGGGTTAGTGTCCTGCCTACTATTAGAAATAATGGAACTAGTGGGGGTAATAAATCTGAGTTTAAACTCAGAAGAAGCAAATGAACCTGAAATCTCTTAAGGTTTTTGGTTATGAATTTGTTATTTACACCCTAAGAAAGAAAGATCCTACAAGTCTGCTAGAAGTTCGAACTTCCATAAAGATGCAGAATTGTGGGAGAATCCATTATTAACGAAATGGAATTATTAGTCTAATAAGACTTAAAATCTTGTAGAGTTACCTCTTGGTTGAAAAGCCTTGGGTAATATATCGATAGAATCGAACAAGATTTGGCATTTTTTAGAATTACCTCTTGGCAATGAAGTCATGGGTAATAAATGGATTCTTAAAAGAAAAGTGAAACCTACTGGTTTAGTTTATGAGTATAAGGATCGCCTAATAGCTAAGGCTTTAAGCGAAAAGGAAAAATTGTAAATTTCTTGTTATCTATTCACCATATGTAGAATAACATCCATGTATGTTCTGATTGCTAGTGTTGTGCGTCAGATGGATTGTTAAACATGTTTTTGTGAATGGTGATTTAGATAGGAAAATCTACATGGGACAACTTATAGGGTTGTCATTCCTGAACATGCTTAGGGAGTCTATTGTTAGACAAATCATTGTAAGATTTGAAATAGACTCTAAGACAAGACGATGGCATGAATAGACGGGTTCTCTCTCATGGTTTTAAGAATGACAAGTGCATTGAGTACAACTTTGAGAATGACACTTGCATTGTGAATGACACATAGATCTTTGGTACAAAGACTTGTGATGTCAATATTGAAAAACCATGATGGTTGAGAATTTTGAATGTGAAGGATCTAAATGAAACATATGTTATGCTTAGAGATCCTAATAACTAGGAAAATACAAGATGTACACCTGCATACATGTTTGATGATGCTAGTATAAATATTTGAAGAACACCTAAGACGGTGTAAGAAGGTTAGAATATACTAGCATTTACTGTCTGCGAGAGGCAGCTGATAAACATGAAACCCGATTTAGTGGGGGGTACTTGGCAGGCTTACTGATTATCCTAGTATGAAGCATTGAAATGCTATTGAAAGGGGTCATGAGACACCTTAAAAGAACAGGAAAAAACCTTGGTATTTGTTATTAAAGGTTTTGCTGTATTGGTAGGGTATAGTGATGCGGATTAGAATACCCTATAGAGGACTCCAAGACAACAAGAGGCTGTGTTTTAAACATCGATAAAGAAGCTATGTCTTGGAAGTCTAAGAAGTAAACGATCCTGGCTCAATCAACTCAGAAATCAGAAATGATAGAACTAGCAATGGCTAGTAAAGAGGAAAGTTGATTGAGAGGGTCATTACTAGAGATTCCCTTATGGGAAAGACCGATCCCTCCGGTAGTTGATTCATTGTGATAGCACCGCAGCTATTACTAAAGAAGGGAACCGGTTCTAGAACGAAAAGAGACGACAAATTTGTCGTAAGCACAGTACTGTAAGAGAACTCCTAACGATAGGAGCAATGAGGTGGATCTTGTAAGGTCCTAACAGAATCTAGCTGATCCTTTGACGAAAGGATTATCTAGAGAGAAAGTCCAAAATACCACGAAGGGTATGAGACTTATGCCTACCGAACCATGGATTACAAGTGATGGTAACCCGACCCGATAGACTGGAGATCCCAAGAAACGGGTTCAATGGGTAATAACAAGTCATGAGTAATATTGAGAAAAGTTCATGCATAGTGAAGCATGAATCCCAAAGCCTTGGAGGTTGAGTTAAACTCTTAATGAGATCTATACTCTATGTGGAGTGAAGTACTTTACTTTGGGGGTACTTCTGATAGACTCACCTATGTGAATGTGGGAGTGGGGCCGCTCCCTATGGAACTTTGGAGGCACAAAGTTGCTAGAGCGTTCACTAAACCGGGATAACGTGCATGGCCATAAACGCACGGCCTATGAGAGAATATCACTCAATGAAAAGATCCGGTGTGCTACATTGTCTGAGATAGGGTTCAAGACTACGAGTCACCCTTATGAAATCGGAAGTGTAACCACTACGCTAAGGTTCAAATCTTCGCGATACCTTAGCTTATGCCCGATCTTATGGAACTGTTGATGCTCAGAGATAGTTTCAAAACTATTCAAGTGGGGGATTGTTGGGATGAATAGCTTTGAAAAGCTATAAATGAAATTCCTAATTAATTATCCAGTATTTTCCCATAATACATAAATAAGATGGATAATTAATAAAAGGAATATTATGGAGATAATTAGGAATAATTATCTTAATAGATTATATTTTAATTATGGGAGTAATTATCTCCCTAATTAAAATATGACTTATTCCCAAAGAAAGAGGGAATATTCTGGGTTTTCTGCTCCTATAAATAGGAGACGCCCCAAACCCTCTAAGCACACCTCAGAAGAGCAGAAACACGAGAGAGAGTGAATTTATAGAGCTCCGGTTTTTCGCACAAAACCGATGAGCAACAAATCAGAATGGCTGTTTTATCCTGGAGGCGACCGGCTGATAGTCTGCTGTGCGCAACGAAGGCAGTGCCGCGAACGTCTTAAAGAGAGCGACCTAGTCCGCGACTCAGCCAGATCGGTAACCTTAGTTTTTCCTGTTCGGTTTCTAACAGTTATCGATTAAACGACAGTTGTATCAATAAGCACCATCCTGCTAATTTGTTCGGTACAACCTTTAATATTTGATTTTACTAAGTATAAGATACACATGTTTTTAACAATAATTTAAAATGATAGTAAGCCATGACACTTAACTTGTGAGTCGCTCGGGCTTCGCTCTGCAACTTTCATGCATAGTCCGTCCTAAATATAGGGGTGGAAATTTGGGTGGGTGTGGTTACCCGCCCACATTTTGCGGGTACCCCACCCACAAATTTACTATTGTACTACTCACACCCTACACCGCAGTGGTTAGTGGGTAATCACTACCCATTGTGTGTTGGTGCGGGTTGGATGTGGTTACCGGCAAAAACCCATCATTGCAAGCATGGAGTTGAGGCCGCCACTAACGTATTTGTTCTTCGTAGCTAGACTATAGTGATATATAATTGTGTTGTTCGTGGAGATACAATTTTGTATATCGATCTTACTCAACGTGGAGATTCTTTTCTTTTCGAGATTGGTATTCAACTTTTGTGTTAGTGAGCTGTGATTTCACATTTCACCGACTAGGGGTGGAATATGACAATTAAATATGATCTTGTATTTTCTTTCACATAAAAGCAAAAACATACAGATAAAAATTACTAAAAGTGTCCGGTTTTAATGAATTAATTGTTTATTCTCCTCTCTCTCGATTATAGTGTTTTAAAAACTAAAAAGTTCTCACATAAAACTGCTTAGGTGCGTATTTGAATTTGGTGACTACTTTAACTTTTAGCCTCCCACTTTTCACATACTATTATATTATAAAGTTAATTAAGCGAACAAACATAATTTGTGTGGTTATTATGGATTTTGTGAGTTAACCGCGGTGGGTAGTGGATAATCACTAACCACAAAAATTATTATTTTACTACTCACACCCAACTCACAACTTATGGGTATGGTTACCCACAGTTAGTGTAAATTTGTACGATTTGCGAGTTATCCACAAGCCGCAACCCAAACTTCCACCCCTACCTACATACATTGGCTTCTCTCTTGCACAAAACACATACAACAACAACAACAACAAAAGATGTAAGACATACAAGATTGTAAACAATTTGGGTTTTTTTTGGGTCGAGAAAACAGAAAGCCACAGAAGTCAGAACAATGAAATAAGGGCAGATGGGGGCCAAGGGGTCGTACCTTAATAACCTTGGTGGGTTGTGGGCTTGTGGCCCTCAGTCTATTTTTCTTTTTTCCCCTCTCCTTTTTCCTTTCCCTTCCAATTGTGACAGTTGATTCCTTTCTGATGTTTCCCCCTTCTCCTGAAAGCCTTAACCCCAAAGCAAATAAACCTCTATTCAAAGCTCACGCTAATCACTCCAAAAAGGTGCCAATTAATCATCTACTAGATGATTTAACTAAACAAAAGCACAGGGACACCATCAACTTACTTGCCTTCAGTTACATAATTGATTGATTACTCAACTTTGAGGTTAATAACCAATCGATTGATATTCTTAAGACTTTGTTTCCAAAATCTGCAATAACTAACAACAAGTATTATGTGGATTGGATTAATGGATTGTTTGGTTGGATTGGTGGATCCATATACAAATATATTAGGCGAATTAATCGATTGAATCAAATGAATTGGTGGATTGATAAATGAATCCAAATGACTTTTAACCCTTGTTAATTTTGAAAAATTTAGATACCAAAATGTCATAAATCATAATAATAAAAGTAAAAAAGAATTAGTGAGTCACGGGAAGGAAGGGATTGAGGTGGTGACACTGACAATTTCATGGGTTTACTAGTTTAGTTACCAATCCTAATCTTCACTTGCCATTTTGTTTTGTATATGCAAATGCAATTAACCCTTTCAATTACTGATTAAACGGTGGTGGTAGTGGGGGCAGCAGACTTGTACTCTGTATGTTTGTTTGTTAGTTTATTTTGCTGCAGCACGTGAATGCCTAGCGATAGCAGCTTAGCATCCATACATCCTTCCACTCCACTCAATAATTTTTAAGCTCATGCTGCAGTACACAAAAACACACAAGCAAAGTAACACTCACTCAGTAGTCACTGCTGCTTGCTCTTCGTGATCAGCTACAGCCAGTGGGGTCGTTTTCATGAAATGTTCAGCCAAGCCAAGCCAGCCATTCTTCTTTTGTTCTCTTCCCTAACTCCAACTCTCCCAAAGAATCTCCTCTCTCTCTCTCTCTCTCTCCCCTGCACCACATTTTGTTTTCTTTTCCTTCTCTTCCACTTGCTTGCTGTTGTGGGTAGAGTGGTCTCAACTATATTATATATATATATATATATATATATATGCTTTTGTATTCATACATCAATGGTGGAAAGAAGAATCATGTCTTCTCTCATTACCATAATCAAGTTGTTGCTGTTTCTTGTCTGTCTGCTGCCAAGCTTCAGCACTAGCAATGGTGGTGCTTTTGTGGGGAAGAGAGTTTCTCTCCTCGACCTGTTGGAAGAACACAAGCAGTGGAAACAGCTGCTAGAGAAGAGCACCTTCCATGACTCTGCTGCTTCTTCTTCTTCTTCAAGCTCATGCCTTCCCCAGAAATCAAGTAAGATTTCTGTTCTTTTTCCCTTACAGTAAAGAGAGAAAAAATGATTATTTCATTCATCAATGGTGGTGACTGGCCATCACTTTATATCATAACTCTCCTTTTTATCTCATGTCTTCCCTCTCTTTGAACAATATGTTTTTACCTTAAATAATAAGAAAACAAAAGGTTCTCCAATTATTATTCTGTTCCCCAACTTTGGGATCTCCCATTTCTGTTATTCTGGCCTTAGCCCTTTCTGCTAGGATCTACTAACATTGCTTTCCATCTTGGTTTATGGGGGGAAAAAGCAACTGTAATAATTTGGTCTCTCCCTTGACATCTTTTCTAACTCTAATTGTTAAGGAATACTTTCTTTGTTCAGGACAGGAAGAGGGAGCAACCATCCTGGAAATGAAGCACAGAGGTTCCTGCTCGCCCTCAGGAAAACCAGCCACGATGCAAGACTTGAGCAAGAAGCTGAAACGGACCCTAATGCTAGACAACATCAGAGTCCAGTCAATCCAGTCTCGAATCAAAAAGACTACCTCTCTTGTCAAACAAGACAAGTCGATAACAACAACAACAACAACTCAGATTCCATTGGCTTCGGGAATAAAGCTGCAAACCCTCAACTATATAGTCACAGTACAGCTGGGAGGGAAACAGCTTACAGTGATAATGGACACTGGAAGTGACTTGACATGGGTTCAATGCCAGCCATGCAGGTTCTGTTACAACCAGAAGGACCCTCTCTTCAACCCTTCCATCTCTCCTTCTTTCCGCAGAATCCCCTGCAATTCATCAGCTTGCGACTCCCTTCAGTTCGCAACTGGCAACTCGGGTGCCTGTGCCAGCAACCAGCAAACCTGCAACTATTACGTTAGCTACGGGGATGGGTCCTACACAAGAGGCGATCTAGCCACTGAACAGCTTAACTTGGGAGGTGAAACTGAACCAGTCCATAATTTCGTGTTCGGTTGTGGAAGGTACAATAAGGGCTTATTTGGAGGAGCTTCAGGTTTAATGGGGTTGGGAAGGAGTGAGCTTTCTTTGGTGTCTCAATCTAAATCCATGTACGGAGGTGTTTTCTCCTACTGCTTGCCCACAACAGCACCTGATGCTACTGGCTCATTAGCATTTGGTCCCAATACTTCAGTTTACAGCAACTTCACCCCAATTTCTTACACCAGAATGGTCAATAATCCCCAGCTCCCAACTTTCTACTTCCTCAACCTTACCGGGTTTTCGATAGGTGGGAAGGATCTCCCTCAGGCCTCTGGATTTGGAACTGGAATTCTGATTGATTCTGGAACAGTCATAACGAGGCTTCCTCCATCAACTTACAGAACTGTGAAGGCAGAGTTTCTGAGGCAATTCTCCGGGGTTCCAACTGCTCCAGGTTTTTCGATACTGGACACTTGCTTCAACCTGACGGGGTATCAGGAGATTGATGTCCCTACCATTAGCATCAACTTTGAAGGGAATGTGAAGCTGCAAGTTGACCTGACAGGGGTTTTCTATTTTGTGAAAGCGGATGCTTCTCAGGTGTGTCTGGCAATCGCGAGCCTGGCTTATGAAGATGAGATTGGGATAGTAGGGAACTATCAGCAGAGAAACCAGAGGGTTGTCTATGATACAAAAGAGTCAATGGTGGGATTTGCAGCAGAAGCTTGCAGTTTCAGCTAATGCGAGGGAGAAAATGTTTTAGAATGCTTATTGGTTACTTATGTGGGATGTCAAGTGGTCAGGTGTGGGTCTGTGAATATGCATTTATTTCTTCTTATAGAATGCAATGCCAATTAGTTTGCTTCAATTGGCAAAGAAATTCATCAAGCAAGTTGCTTTTCCACCCTCTTTCGGCCAGTCTGTTTCATGATTTCCATGTAATCCGTCAATATGTGATAGCTCAGTATAGGAGCAGTAGTAATCTGAAAACAGAATAGTAACTTCCATGTTTCTTGTTAGTCAAGTGTATTGATGAAGTTCGGTACAAGAGCAGTAGTAATCTGGAACCCAAAAGCTGTACAAGTTACAACAGGAACCAAAATATCAAGTGCCAAGATTTTTTGCAGGGTTCCCAGCTCTCTATATTCACTAATGCAGCTAAAGTCTGTACGGAACATTCTCCCTGCTAGGCAACAATAAAGTTGAATACAAATGTATGATAAAACTATGTCATTGCCCAAGTTGATTAATCTGTGTACCAAACTGGAAGATGCTGAGTAAATGGTGATTTGGGTCATACCATAGGGTTCCAGCTTCAGTGTCTGGCATCCTTGGCATTGTAAAGGGACCTGCATTGACTGTGATCTCGAAACAAATGTGTCAGTATTCTTCCCTACTTCAATTGCCCTCGATAAGGGAGGCCATCTCATTGTTCTTCTGGTCATCATCACCCTTTTTCATCTTCAACGTCTCAGCTGGAAGAACCGACAAATTGGGATCAGCCCTCGGGATCAGGAATAATAAGGCAATCGGGAGCAGCCTCACCATGCTTCGGATCAAGAGGGCAACCCAAAGATTGTCAAACTGTGTCCTGGTGACATTCAACATATGCAAGAGTAGACCTCCTAGCCATGTAGAGATGAGCAGACCAATATGATCAATAGACATGAGCAGAGCAAAGAAGGTGCCCTCTATACCAGGAGGGCATAGCTTGGAACTAAGCACAAGAAGAGGCATCCATTTGACCCGCCCAATCATCCGAGAAACAGCTTCGTCGATCACAACAAAGAAATAATCAGGGAAACCGATTCTCAAGTTAATACGAAGAACCAATATCAAGTCAAGCAGCCCAGATAGGCTGAGTAATAGCTGGGACCAAAAAACTATGTCGCGAAGGGGATGGTTCTTCAGAAAATTTTGGTAGATTAGGACCCCTGAGAGAGAGCCAATTGCACCAAATGAGAATATCGATCCAACAATTTCCTGCATGAAGTGTAAAATAAGATCAAGTTTAACCTGCTAGCAAGCCTATGCACCATATATGATGAGTTAGACGTATGTATCTGTATTTGATTGCGAAGTTGGCTATTGATCAGCTGGAAGCAGATAACCACGTAATTTATAAAATATAAAGGTACCTGTGAGAAAGATGGACCCCCCGCTGCATCAGTATACCAGTAGAACATTCCTTCATGGACATGTAAACTGACACAGAGAGACAAGAACATAAATAAGCAAGGCCTCCACACTTCTCGACATTTTAGTGTTCTCCACATTGTTTTACCGGCGTCCAAGAACTTCTCATGTACCTAAGTCATGGCTTCTGTGGTAAGCTATCAAGAATTCAAAAATATACTTTTGGAGCCAATGAGGGAGAATAAAGCAGATACAACACTAGTACCCCTCTGTAAACAGATCGCTGTAAATTGCCTTCGCGCAACAATATCCCAACCATAACGACTAGGCCTGCTGGAAAACTTAGAAACCCAAACACACCCTGTCAAGAAGAGTATGTCAGTTGAGAAACAAGAATTTTAGAGTTACACCTCTTCCATCAAGTGCAAACCATCTATTCCAAACATCTAAAGATGCAATTATAACATTTCAAAGGACATTAAGATGGTTTCTGTAGAAGCCATAAAAAAGGCGAAGAACATTAGTGCTTGTAGAAAGCCTAGCACAATCATCAATTAAGGCAACCCTAGTACTGGAATGACATGCAAATCGAAGTACAATGCTTTCTAATCTGGCTATGTACCTTGAAAGCAACTTTCAGTGGCTGTACCTCTGGATTAAGGAAACATTCAGGTTATACTTGGAGCTCTTTTACACCCCGCATTTTATCAAACTTATAGATATCACTTGCACCTTCCTGATTGTGACTGTTAATGGCATTAGGTGAGGCACTACCCAAAACTCTTCCGCACACACAAAACAAACAAGTCTCGAATAGCACAATAAGAAATAGCATGGATCTCACCGAGTAACTAAATTCCTTAGCAGTGAAGTTGCCAAATCTAGCATTCAACCTAGAGAGCAAGGACACCACATAGTAACTAGCTTACCTTAGCTCCAACCAGGTGAACAAGGAAGCCACTGAGTGAGAAGCCGACCAGGGACCCGATGGAGGCAGAGAGCCCACACAAGCTTTGCATATCACCGGCAAGAGATGGGTGAGTTACACTATTTTGTGTCACACAGGCATCAATGGTAACATCTGAAATCGCCATCCCGGTACTCCCTGACATCAGAGAAAGCATGGCATATCCAAGCGACAAGTTTGGCTGCAGTGACACCACCAGCATTGACATAGCAGTAAGACAACCTGAAATTCAGTTTCAATTTACAATCAACCAATTCATTACAGACCTTGTTTACCAACTCAAAGAAAGATGAGATCATCATAACAGCTCAATTGGTAGCTAAAGAAGAAGAAAGGTACATAATTAAATTGGGGAAACATGGGTTTGACCTGCGAAAATGAAATAGGGGCGCCTGCGGTAGCCCAGAACAGGTACAGTGTCCGTTAAGAGACCCCATAGAGGCTTGACAATCCAAGGGAGCTGAAGGAGACCAAAAAAGAGCTGAGCTTCAGAGGGCTGCAGCTTCTGATCATCCTTCATGTAGTACTGCGTACTAACTCGGACGAGCCCAACTCCGAAACCCTGACTAATCCCATAAACCACGATTACCCCCATCACGAGGCTCCAGTGGAGCTCCTCGCCAAGCATTCTGAACCAATGTATCGGCCTCATCATCAGCGATCCCTTCTTCACTGGCGAAGCAGCCATCCTCTCGATGTGGGGTTCTTCCATTTTTGGTGGGCGATCGGCGACGGATGAGGAGCGAAGCACGATGGGAATGGGAATATGAGGTCTCCCCCCAACCAAGAAGGGAATTGTAGAAAGTCGCTGACTTTTTGTCTTGCACCGAGGATTCTGAACAGCTGACTGGCTTGGACTCTGCTCATTTGCTAATGAAATCGGTTTCTTCGGCCTCAGAATCACGCGCTACGGGCAGTAGTCGGCCACCTGCTCAAGTACAGATGGCGGCTGGCTTTCGGGTTAGCAACTTAGCGTAAATTACTGGCCGTTGCGGGCTTCAACGATTTTTTTAGCTTTGTCTCCATCTGCTGCTCCTCATTTTCTATCAAAACCTGGGTTGGACCGCCAAAGTGAACTTCGGGCAGGCCACAAATCCCAAACTGGAGGAACAGCTCAACTGGCTCAGCCGGGTCTTGCTATTGCCCGCGAGACCAGTCTTTTGCAAATGTTTACACGGTTTCAGCTGCTCTAAGATGACTACGATTTCTAGTAAGATTCTTGTTATAACTTACAAGATTTGAATCAGATGAGCATCTACATCAACAAAATTTTCAAACTAGTTATATAGCGGTTCAATCCATTTGTTTGAACGATTAGAGATGGAATGATCGACGTTTAACGGTTGGATATTGAACCCGATGAACCAACTCAATCTGACTACCAATGGTTCACTATTTTACCAAAAAATCATTTTTGAAAATTTTTTAATATAAATTAAGAGCATCCAATATGAATTACTTATTATATTTTTGCTTCATATCCTTCATTTCACCTCCTCCTTTAGGTGGTCCACTACCGATTGATAGCCTAATTACTAGCTTAAATTGACGGTATCGTTTGCTTGTGGGATTTGGGTGATGGATTTGGCATCCAAATCCCAAGCATCAAGGACTTGGAACAAATTCATTGTTTGCTAAGGGACACAAATCCATGGGACCCACCGATTTGGACACTTTTATATCCAAATCCATGGACCCCATGAATTTGTAAATCCCCGATGTTTGTTTGATGGATTTGGTGATGGATTTGGATCTCTCATGGACTTTATAATTGTTATTTTATATCATCATTATAAAGCAAAAGTTGATCTTATTGTAAAAAAAAAATATTTATGTCTATGAACTAGAAGGGATGGCAAAAATACCCGTAACAGTGGATATACGCCCGAATCCGACTTAATAGGGTAGGGTCAAACTCGAACCCGAAGGACTTTGAGTGGTTACGGGTAAAATCCGAACCCGAATATTGCGGGTAATCGGTGGGCATGGTTTTCTCACTATCCAACCCCAACCCGCCCGATTATACACATGTATATATATTGTTTCTAGAAATAGTCATTATTTTCTTTTAACATATTGTATATTTAGCATATGGATATAATATTTTCATGAAATTGTGTTGTTTTAATTAATTTTCTTCATTCTAGTGAATTATTGTCGTACTTTTTCTCATATATAATGTGAGAATACGTGTGAATGTTAACATGTTGGTTGAAGTTGTAAAAAGAAACTATTACCCATGGATAACCGTGGATACCCGAAACCCGAACGGGTATGGAAATAGTTTAGATTTTCTACCCGTTTCTTATGTGGGTATGGGTATGGGTAAAAGCCGAACTACTCTGGATAGGGTAACGGATATGCACTATCCGCCCCGACCCGCCCCGTTGCCATCCCTAACTATACAGATTTCGTATATTATAATATCAACCAACAACCAGAAGACACGTGGAATGCATCCCGGTCTTGTCCACGTGTCACAATACCTCGTATAAAGAAGAAATGAACACGTTTAAAAACAGAAAGAACAGATCCCTCAATTTTTCCATCGGCGACTCTGGAAATTGGCTGCAATGGCGTACGTCGAACGAGGTCGGTCGTCCTTCTCTCTCTCTCTCTCTCTCCCCAATCTTCTTCTTTCATCAGATCATGTGTTCTCTTTAGGTTTCTTTGATTGGGTTCCTTGTGAAGTGAATCATGATCGTTAATGTTTCCTTTTGCGGTATCTCCAGATTAGGGATTTACAAATTTCATTCCCAGATTACCCGTTCGAGGACCTCAAATAGCTTCGGCTTGTAATTAAGGTCGTTTTAGCATTGGGTTTCTTGGGTTAGGATGATGAAATCAGCTTTGATGGAAGTGTTGAAACTATAGGAATATTGAATGGGCATTTCTATCCGGACCCTTTATTATTCCTCTTGGTAGGAAGATTCGGTCTCGTTATGTTTGATGAGATTTGGCACAGAATTAAGGTCGTTACTGTGGTTAGGATATATCCCATGAATTGCTCAGATCAGATATCTTGAAAAGATGTCTTATTTCCTGATGGAAGAAGCTTTTCACTCTTTTCTCAGCCGGTCAAGCTCTTTATCATCCATATTTTGATGGTAAGTCAGGAACTTGTAAAGTTACAAGGAGTTTATCTAAGTTGCCAAACTTTTACATGTACTCTTTCTTGATGAATGAATGTAGAGGACATTATGAAAGTAAGGCCAATTTTTGACGTGTTAGTTTCCATTGTCGATCGATCGTCTTCACTTTTACTTCTGTGTCACAAGTATCTCAACTCTCAATCTGTTTCTCTCTCTGGCCTCAAGGCATGCAAACAGTTGTCAATTGTCATCTTGATAGACTTTGTCTGCTGGTTTGACTTGCCAAGCCTGGTCTGCCTGATTCTAATGTGAGTTTCCTTCCAGTTTGGTAACTAAGGATGATCATTATGAATGCTTCTCAAATCACCTTGGTTTGCTTTCTTTCCTGTGATGTACTACATCACTGATAAGTAGCAATCGTAAGGCTGGCAATGCAGGCCAAGTTTTGGTTTCAGAACACTTGCACGCTGAGACAAATTGATAAAACAGATAATAGCTGTCCAATAGGATTGAAAGTTGTCTGTTTTCTTACCATCGACAATTTTTGTTCGTGCTTATTAGTTCAGAAGTAGGTTCCTTGCAGTAGTCTCAACTCTGCAGTTGTCTGTTCTGATATAGAAATGTAGGAACGGCGAGTTGTATTGAGAAGTTTCTGGTTTTTAGATTTCTAACCGCCGGTCCTTTTATTAGATTTAATTTCACTGACATGTAGAAGGAAAATAACATGAGCGAAATTCAGATGAGTTCATTTCATCCTCATTTTGTTATCATTAGTAAGACATCCAACACTTTTACTTCTTGTTTCAGGCGTTGTGAAGTCACAGAAATCCTTATGGCGACTGAAGACATTCACAGACTTCTTTTGGGCAATCATCAACTTGATTTCCGTGTTCTTTGCTACCATGTTTTCAGTAAGAACTTTCATTTCCTCATTGCCATATATGAAACCATCTCAAAGAGACTAGGAATCTCCTTTGAAGGTGGCCTTCTCGGTATAATGGCAATACTGTGGTGCTTAATCTCTTCTTTCTCCAGATGGAAAAATCAGATGCTTATCGGAAAGGGTCGGGTGGTAGCAAGAAATGGGACGGCGGAGGACCTGGAGGTCCTGGAAGTGGACCATATGGCGGTGGGCCGCGTGGGCCACCGAGAGGAGGACTAGACAACGTTCGAGGACTGAGGGATGTTCGTGGGGGTGATCACAGTAAGCTCGTTAACTCGTGTTTCCTTGCATATCCAATCTTTGGATGATTGTAAGTTCTTTAAATATGTAGTACTAAGTCTAACCAAAGTCCAAAACCTCTGGTCCTAACTTGCAGGTTCCTTGCCTGCTTGTGGCTCCTGCTGTGGCTAAATGGAGAGTGATGCTTTCCTCTTTTTGATTTCTGGCGAATGCTTCATCTTCTTCTTCTTCAGTTTGGAGAACGTAACGTTCTCTGATATGTTGGAGCGACATGTATAGAACTCAAACTATATACTCTGCCTGTCTATTTTGATGTAAAAGTTCTTATTTTCGGCATAACTGCTGATTCGATTGAAGAAATAGATAATCAGCGTCCTTTGTACTTATTTTGGTGTTTGTGTGTGGAACCGTGGGTAATTTGATTCAAATTTTTTAGGCCAAGCATTAGCACTAACACATTGAAATTGAGATGAACCATTCAACCCAATTACCTCGAATTCGGTCCATCCTGAACGAGAAGCAGAAAACCAGAAAGAGGAGAAAGCACCAATGCCAGCGAGTGGGATAGTGCAGAACAGAGGAAAAAATGAAATAGCAAAACAGAGCATGGAGGAAGGGACATTCAATTCGAGAAAATCTTGTATACTTCCGGCTTAATGGATCATCAATACATCAAGACCAAAGAAGGAGGAACAGAGTCAGAAATAATTAAGCATATTCCAGTAATTGAAGAAAATTTAGAACGAAAAGAGAACGAAAGTAACCAAGTAATAAATAAATAAAATCTACAACATTCTGTAACGAATCTAGAAAAGAAAATACAACTATAGGAAGAGAATTAGAATTAGTCTAATTAATTAATATGGAAAATCTAAAATATAATATTAGAAAATTATAAGGATATTTAACATAGAAAATTATACAACATTAGCATAATGTACGAGAATTTAATATAACATCCTCAGATTATTTATATCGATAAAGAATTCATAGGATATATTGCTTCAGCAAATTATTCAATTATTATAACATATAATGGTAATTGAAAATACTTATAATGATAATTGATTCTACATTTCCTATTAAAAATTGGTTTGGTATCAACGTCTTCAAAAGAGGATTCCCAACTTAACAGAATTCATAGGATATATTTGCTTTAGAGAATAATTCAATTATTAGAAAAAATAATGATAATTAAAAATACTTATAATGATAGTTGGTTCTAAATTTTCTATCCAAAAAATAATTTGGTATCAAGTATTCAAAAGAGGGTACCAACTAAATAATAAAAATTGATGTTTTTAATAAGTCAAAATATTTTTTTGCAATAAGAAAAGTAGAAGGACCAAATAATAGAGTTAAAATAAGTCGAAATAACTTTAACTGAATGCACCTAACATCAAATTTAAGTGGTACCGGGTGCATAAATAATAGAGTTCACTGGTACCCGACGCCCTATTCAAAGTTAAGTGGTATGTCTGCCCCAATTCTCAAACTTAAGTGGTACCCAAGGTATTTTACCCCATCAATTACACCGCCAGCCACTTTATGATTTTTGTTTGATGAACTTATTTATATTGACATGACTTAATGTACATAAACCAGGAAATAGATATCTAAAGATACTATCCTACATCATGATCTTCATAAACTAAATGCATGCTTATAAATTTGATATGGAGATAGTTGATAATTTTACAAGATTAAAGGGAAATGTAATATTTTATAGGGAAATGGCGGTGTAAAACAATATCAAATATTTTCCACTAGTGTATCGACTTCTGAAGTTGGCGTTATTGCTACCTGTTGACACTACAAAAGTTAATAGAGCATATATGCAATGAATTTTGTGAAGAATACACATCCAAATCAGATGAGTCAAAAAATTGTGATTGAATTTTTTGTAGGATACATTGAGATTAATATCATTAATAGTTGAGAAGATAAATGTATTTTAGAATATGAAACACGCCATGAAGTAATATAAAGAACCTACCTGAACTAAATTCTTAGTTACGCCACCGCTTGCAGGGTCGACAGTAAGCTTATTTGGCTTTAATGGCTCCTAAATGAAATTGCCATTCCTCAAGTTTTGTAACTCCTGTTCACTGTGTGATAATCAAGTTGATTTAAATGTAACAAATGCACTTTTATCATGAACAAACCAAACGCACATCAATCAAGATGAAAAGCTCTTGTCGCCGAACCATTCTCCTATATCTCACATCCAAACTCGACATTCATGCCACTGAATGTGGAAAAGTACTGTAACAATAATTGGCTTGCGCTTTGTGGCGGGTAACAATAAACATGTCATAAAACTCTATTTTGTGTGATCCACCTAGCTGTGTCCCCTTTCACCTTGTCTTCTTGTTTTTTCCTGATGTTGTCTTGCTTCCAATTTGCAGCTAGACCCCTGTTTGTTTCGTTATTTCTTCTAAATTTTCTTTGCCCATTTTGAGAGCTCAATTGTTATGAAACCTTTGTGTTGTTCTTTGTTGTCTGGTAATAAAATTGGGAGTCGCCGTTGTGGAAAAAAGAAGTGACTGGCACATTAGTACAAATCTGTTTTGCAATTGCATATTGAGTTTTCGTGTAAAATTTGCATTTGATCAAATATCCGTGATGTGGATGTTGCTAGTCTCCCTACAACACAACCTATTACAAGCTTATCAACAACTACCCAAATTGAATCTAGCTAGTTTGCAAGAATAAAAAGTATTTTTGTCTAGTTGGACTCTCTATATATGCAGTGGTAAAAAGAGATTGAACCGAAAAGAATTGGTATTATTCGTAATGGAAGAGGAAGACAGATGTCATCGTCATTGCCGTTGGTAAAAAAAAAAAAAAATTGCCGTCGTCATCTGACACCGGCCGGCCACCGCTAGCTGCTATTGTTCTGAACATAGAAAGAATTGCGGTTCTTAATTATCTACTGTTCTTGCCCAACTCTACGTACGTACACTCCTCTCTCTTTGCTCTTTTTGGGGGTTTTTTTGAAACCCAGAAAAATTAACATACTCGAGGAGATGGATCGTAACCAAAACTGCATGTTGCTTAGTTGGAAAAGAAACAGCAAACTCATGAACTTCTTTGCGTCTGGGATGACGACAGAGAACGACGATCATCAGAGCACCCCCAACAACAATCATCAGTTCCCAACCACGAAACAGCTTAGTATGTAAAAAAAAGCTATCCCAAATAAATTAAAAGTCTATCACATTTGTCGTCAATATATTGTCATCTCACCGTTTATGCAATCCACGTCATGTTAATTTCATTGTATCACCATTATCAATGTAATTCGCTTGGTATTGCGTAAGTGGTGTGCACTCGAGTAATTTTATAGTAAATGAAAATAAATGAAGGAATAATAAATAAACAAATAAGTTTTTGTTTTAGTGTAGCTTGCATTTTGAAATTCATCAAGATTGCATGTTTGCAAGTGTCAATTACATTGGTGCCATCTCATTTGCAATATTGAGTACTATGTAAAAATTTTCATTAACCAGATACTATTGAAGTGGATGCGGTAAAAAAAAAAATATTGGAGTTTGGCATAGAAACAGATCGAATTTTTGTTTACCGGTAATTATGGAGACGAAATTTTAATGTATATATATTGCCTTTTTTAAAAACAGTATATATATAGCCTTTTTTTTTAATGTATAACAGCTAGATTATAAGTTGCAGTTTCAAAATGTTTATAAAGTACGAAACTTATAATTAGAGATCATTTATGAATTGTGATGGAGGCACAGATCCATCTGTGTATTATTTTTATTATTATTAGTGTGAAAATTTAATTAGTAGGATATTTGGAGTTAGAATTATAGTCATTATCATTAGGATTGTTATGGTTATTATTATATTTGGGTTGCTGTAGGGATTTTAGGTTGGCGGTAAAGTGATAGCAGAGTCTCTTTTAGGTTTGATTATTAGGTTTAGCAGATTGGTAAAAGAGACTGAACCGAAAAGAATTAGTATTGTTCATAATGGAAGAGGAAGAAAGATGTCGTCATTGCCGGTGGTAAAAAAAAAAAAAATGCCATCGCCATCTGCCACCGCTGCTTGTTCTGAACAAGGAAAGCACTTCTTGGTTGGGTATGAATTTTTTGTTTTTTTAGTAGGTTGGGTATAGGATTTGAAACCCTAATTCTGCCATTTTAGGATCAATTATTATTTCACAATCTATGCTATATAAGTTTTATTATTCTTCTATGCATACAATTTTTATTTAAAACAGTACTTATTCATCCTAAAATTAAAACAACCTAGCTAATGTCACATCTTATCACAAAACTTCTTCTTAATCACAAGTTAAATTCGCATATTTGTGATCTATCATTCGACAACATATTTGTGATCTATCAGAAATTGCTAATTTGGACAATAAGTGTTTTCTGCAATGCTTTCATAATTAATGCGAATTTACGATTGATTGTAAGCGATCTGTGTCGAATTATTATTTCTTAACTACACAAACATTTGAGTATTATATTCTTAACTTTTTAGTTCATTTAGAGTTTACTTTTATTTTATGTAGTTAAGTTTTTTTTAATTCAAAGCGTTTTACAGAAAAGTAGTAAAAATTAATGCTGAATATTGTACAGAAAAAGGATAATTTGGTGTTAGAAACGAGTGTTGTAGAATTTTGTAGAACAAGTAAAGTGTATGTATGATTTTAATTAAGTCATGCATTTAGGAAAACGACAATGGGTTGGTCGGGGCTCGGAGGGTATTTTGATATTCATATCATTTTGTAGCAGGTCTGGTATAGATTTATCAGGTATTTTGTCTTGGGGTATGATGGGATCAAATCCACACATATGAGTATGTAATGTATAGAAGAAAAAATTATTTCAAACGGTTTATTTTTCTTATTAATAAGTCTAGAAATAAACTATCATAAGATACAGTCAGTTAAATTTCTAAAAAAAGTTGAGTTTTGTACTACTTTATTATAACTAAAATATGATTAAATAAAAGCAGAATCCTAATTAATTTGATAAAATTACATAGATTTAAGTAAAATACGGTGAGTCAGGTCGAGAAAAGTACACATACCGGCCCGGTCCACCTTGGGTAGGAATATTACCCTCTAAGAAAAAATCAAACAAATCGAATATAACATGTCAAAGTCAAAATTGTTATCTCCAGATGCATTTACAACTACTATGATTTGGTCATATAATATAAAAGTTTAAACTATGATAGTAATATTATGCTGACTCAATATGATAGGATCTGGTGTGCTTTTCTATTCTTATTGAAATATAGTTCTTTTTTATTCAAAGCATTTTACAGTAAAATAATAAAAATTGATGGTGAAATATTGTGGGGATAATTTGGTGTTAGAAACGTATAAAATTTAATTAAATCATACATTTAGGAATGACAATGGAAGGTAGGTCAGGTATTTAGATTAGGTTTTTTTTTTACATGGTCGGGTGAGGTCGACACATATGGGTATGTAATATAATGAAAAAAATACTTCAAACAATTTATTTTTTTCATTAGTAAGTCTAGAAATAAACTATGACATGATATATTCAGTTAAATTACTCAAAAGTTGAGTTTTGTACAACTTTATTATAACTAAAAC